GTCTGGTCCCGAGAATCATGCTATATCTGCGGAACAAAACAGTCCAAGACTAACATGGCCAGCCACCTTCGCAGGATACATGGGGTTGTGAAGCAAGGAAGAACACCTCCATGAAGGCTCTGCCTAACCTTAGATGTTTTTTCCTTTTCAAAGTCCGTTTGAAACGCCAAGGAAGAAGTAATATAAGTATCCAATGGAGGATGATCTCATTACTTTTTCAGGTCGTGAATGAAAATGAGTGGAAAGGGCAGGAGCGATAGAGGTGGAAGGAAGAGGAGGCTGGAAGAGGACTTAGCATCCAAGGAGGGTGTGAATAAAGTACCGGCGAGAAGAGGGGACAAACCGTACCGTGAGGAGATCACCACGGAAACCACAGACCATCTTGAATTCGCTGTTCTGGGTGATTCCATTGTAAATGGAATTTTCCATTGTAAATGGCATCCAAGGAGGGTGTGAATAAAGTACCAGCGAGAAGAGGGGACAAACCGTACCATGAGGAGATCACCACGGAAACCACAGAACATCTTGAATTCGCGGTTCTGGGCGATTCCATTGTAAATGGAATCAACGCGAAGGTTGTGACTTGTCCCGGTGCGCAGATTCACCAACTGTCCGAGAGGAAGATAATGGACGATTATAGTCGTTAGGAATTAAGAAAAACGCGATTCTTGGCGGGACAAACAACATTGCATGGAGAGACGGCTCAATACATCAGCCAGAGGAGTTCAGTGACCAAAAGAAAGATCTAGTAGAAATGTACAAGAATGAAGGCTTTCAATTAGTTTTCATGGAAGTTCCATGGAGGAGGCACCGCGAAGAATAAATCAAGAAGATCAACAGGCAATACGAAAAGATTGCAAAGAAAGCGAAATGTGAGTTCCACAGATACCGACGTTTCTCGAAAGCCCACATAGACAAGAACGATGGGGTGCACCCAGTCACGCACCACATCCAAATCCTTGCCAAGGAATTCTATCAGGCTCTCCAGAGGCTGTCCACTGATAAGTCCAATGGAGGACGTACTAGTGGGGCCTCGGGGACCTGACTAGAACCGGGAAGGCATCCAGGTCTCGAACGAGACGTAACATAGAGAGAGAGAGACAAAGCTGAGTTATTCAACATTTTTTTTCATTCGGTTGTTCTCGCCGCTGGATAGTTTTTCAGATGAAAAATTGTGCTTTTCTTGCTGATGTTGATTTAGACCTTATAAGTATACAAAAGGCTCTGTGAAATGTTGCTAGTACTAGATCTTAAGCCTGTGACAACGTGCAGCGCTTAATTCTTTATCAAGAAGCTTCTTTCTTAGCACCATTTGTCTACCTTCTATTTAAATATATTATTTCTTCGCAAACGTTGCCTGTTTTTGGAAAACTGCGCTCATATTCAGGGTACACAAAAGATAACTAAATCATCTGTTAAAAATTATCGATCAATTTCATTCATACCTAGAATATCCCTCATTTTTCAAAATATGTTCAATTTAATTCATCTGAAGATTCAAGCCAAAATTCTGGAGAAGCAACACAGATTCAGAAAATGTCATTCATGCGTCACCCAATTACTGATGTTTCTTGATAAAGTTAACTCGAATTATGACAAGGACGATCAGCTCATTCTGTATCTTGACTTCCAAAAAGTGTTTGATTCTGCATCAAAGAATTTTATTGCGCTCATTAAACTCGCTTTGATTGGTTTTGACTAAGATCGTCTTATATTGTTCCAGTCTTACTTGTAGGCGACTGATCATAAGCTTAGTTTTAATATACTCAAATGTGGTGCTTAATTAATCGAGACCAGGAATTCTGCTCCCGTTTTCTAGAAATACTGAGCTACAAAATACTGATCACGCTTCTGACTTGGGACTAGAAGTTACTTTAATTAAAAATGTGTTTATCATGTAAGAAATAAATTACAGAGGGCGCAAAGAGTTTTCGGTTAATCTACGGCGCTGTACTCTAGGAAAATTTTCTGCAGGTGTGAACTTTAACCTTTTCCAGACGTATGCAATTTCTTATTTTGCTACATGCTTATCCCGCTTGGTTTATGGATATAACAACATTGAGACAATTCGAATCGTTCAATTACTCTGGTCTTAAGTGGTGTTAAGTCATCACGATTTGCTGTTCATTTCAAATACGGTGCCGATATTTTATCAATTTCTTGAAAGAGACATGCTATTCTACGTCAATACTCGTCTCGGAGTCAATTGTAAAAATTTTGTTGGTTTTTCGAAATCCTGGAACCAAATTGGGTTCTCAGATAGCCTTCACATATCAAGTTGAAATCTTGCAAAGTCTCTACAGCGCCGTAACACCACTTAAGACCAGAGTAATTGAAAAATTTGAATTGTTTCAATGTTGTTATATCCATCGAAATAATTTTTTTTACAGGATCGTTAATATTGTCAACGACTACATTGAGATATAGGGTCAAAAATTTATCCACCAACCAAATATTTCAAATTTCTCATTGAGTTACTTTTCTTCAAAATACAACTTTTTTATATCATTTACATGGTCACTCGAATGCCGTAGTTCATTCTGTACATGATTACACACCAGTATTGTTTGACTTCTACAAACTCCCCATGGAGTAAATTGAGGTCTTTTAGTACTGCTAGTAGTAGTAGCAGTTTAAACATAATTGTCATTTTCAGCGCAGTCAGAAAATCAAACAGTTCAATATGATATCTGCTAGATTCCAGCCTAAAGATTTACTTTTTTGCCTAATATACCAAACTTGAAACTACCAAAAAATCCAATCCCATTATTATAACAAGAATTCCGATCTGAGCAAAAGACCGGTAAAGTTATATGAAAATTATTCAGACTATGACAAATTGATCAATTGTTGATGAGTGACTTCCAGTAATCAAAATCACTATTAAAAACTGAATGAATCACGCGTCCTAATATTGAGGCAACAATGAAAAAAATCAAAAAAATTACGCCTAAAAACTACATGATTGGATCATCGACAGGCCCAAAAAACATTAAGTATCATAAACAGTGACAACAAAAGAGACAAACGTTACGTCGATCGTTGTTAAGCCGAAAGATGTTGTCATGAAAAAACGTTACAAAATTTCAAGTTTTAACGATCCATCCTTACTGAAACACAATCGCATTAGAGTCACTATTGACCTCAAAATTACGCAATATAAGTTCACTTAGCCGATATAACATGAACCAAAACTGGTTAACTGAAAAATATATATAATCAAAACAGTTAGGGCAAAAACTCTCAAAATCCTCTTTTTTTGAAAGTAGGCCCATAAATGACTGAACCAGACATTATAGATGGCATTTACAAAAAAACAGCAAAAATAAACCGACAGAAAGTAGGACGAGAACCGACTAAATCTATATATTAAAATGAGGACTTCACTATCTCACCAGGCTTAGGCTTTTTGAAGATACTTTTTAAATAATTTCTAGAACGTTCAGCATGAGACGAGGATGGCAGAGCATTGTAGACTAGTGTAAAGGTGGAATTCATGCATCTATCAGTATCTATCAATCTATTCAAACATTATTCAACGGGCGTTTCACTTCACACGTGATTTCGAAGTCCTTATGTTGGCCCGTCGAAACGCCAATATATATTGCAACGGTTTCAAAATTTACTGCAGACGACGCTTCAATATCTGTTGGAGCAAACATTTAAAAAAAAATTCGCAACCTAAGCTTCTTATCTTTTGTTCCGACCATCGAAAACGGGGAGGAAATTTATACTAGGTTGTTTTTTTTGGCTTTCCATGCGAAATCAGGTACCTCAAATAATGATGAGATTTATGATCAAATTTTTTTTCATTCAAGCCCTGAAAAATCTTAAAAAAATGAAAGTTACAAAGTTTCTTTAGCGCATCTTCAGAATTAAAAAAATCTGTAAAAAAAACTACAATGTTTTTCAAATTATTCTATCATTTCTTTATTAGTTTATTTTTCGAAAAAAAACTGCTTTATAATATGACTATTTTACTATGAATATCGGAACTGCTTAAAACCAGACTATCGTTCAGATCCTTTCATCACACCATGCACAAAACAATTGAAATCAATTTTTTAAATTTGAAGTTTTTTTTTAAATATGGTCGGAACACTTTCGGCTACTTGCACAGCAACCGGCTATTCTTGTGCTTTAAAGTGTTTATTTCATCAAATTAGAAGTAGCAACCTTACAATGGGGTGCTGCCATCTATTGCAATTTTAGCCTGCAAATATGATTATCCAAATCCTTTCAGTTTACGAGAATGGCATAAAAAACTTCAGATTGCAAAACTTCACAAAAAAGAAAGTCCCAGCCCTATGTTGGGGTGCTTTCAGGGTACTCTCAAGGATTGCAAATCATGCGTCTAAACTGTGACTGCTCAAATCCATTCAGTTTCCGAGACTTGAAGTTTTTTAGGATTTTTTTAGGCATTTACGCGGGAAGGCGCTTTTTAATTAACTTGTTTTTTTTTCAAATATGACTGCTCAAATCCTTTTAGCTTTCGACTTTGGAAGTATTTCTTCAAAAGCTTTCAAAAGATTTTTCAAAAAATAACCAAAATTCAAACCCAATGTTGCGGTGCTGTGATGGTATTGCCAATTTGCGCATCTGGTTTCTACTGCTCAAACATCTCTGGTTTTCAAGAACATATTGAAGTTTTTTTTAATTAATAACGCTGTATTAAACGATTGACGACAGCAAATTATATACTACAGGTTTATGAAATTTTCTGGATGAGAGTGTCTATTGTACTGTTGTATGAAACAAATAGCTTTTTTCGCTTCAATAGATGAATTTTAAAAACCTTAACGGTGTTAACTCATTAAAAATCAAATGCCGAAGCTCATGGTATTTTTGTGCCATGCAGCTTCTGAAACAAGCCTTTTTGAGTCACCAAGTGCCAATTTTATTTCCGACTTAGGTTGGGTGTAAAAATGGAACGTGAAGTTGCATGCTAATCGCAAGAGCAATTAAGAAAAAACAAGGAAATAAATAATTATCGTACTCACCGATTGCCATGTAGTAGCTTCTCGCTTTGCCAAAGATAGGTTTTGTATCCGATAAAAATCCAAAGAAAAACTTGATGGACCAAAACATTTGAAATATTGAGTATATTGTTGTATAACTGTGACCAGGCATGTTCAGGTATATACCGAAAAACGGATATGTTGCTTCTCGGTAAAAAACAGTCCGGAATGTAAAAGCTTCCAGAAATTTGTCGTAAAATAAGCCTAACCGATGCGGGTTGGACCATCGGACTTTTTCGTTAAACTCGTCACATTGAATAAAATTGAGCCTATCGACATCTTTATCCTCCAACTGAAAGTTGGTTTTATTCAAATCAACACGGCCTTTCAAAACTTCAACTTCTGCCATGTTTTCTGGATACGAATACCCATTATCCTCATCGATATCCATATTTTGTTAAACAATTTACTATTCCATGATCTAAAATCTGGAAAAAAAACATGTTTTCGCGAAAACTAATATTTTGAGTTTCTTTCAACTCCGGTTTAATCAGTGCAGGTAATCTCAATCTAGTTGACTAGATTCCTAACCATCTGACAGTAATCAGAAAATCAAAAAAGTATCATAGTAACCGAGGTTGCAGCCAGGAGTCCTTCATTGTATATTTGGAACTTTCTAATAATCAGAAGGTAAAAAGTGTCAAAGTAACCGAGGTTACAGTCAGGAGTCCATTTATTACATACTCCAGTTAAAATCCTAGGAATTTTCTAGATATGGAAAAGATGATGATAAAAAGATGATTTAAGTTCATGAGATTTTTTTCTTTTGTTTTCTATAGGGGTAATCAGGTCAAAAGTATCATAGTAACCGAGGTTACAGACAGGAGTCCCTTCATCACGTATTCCAGTCAAAATCCTTGGAATTTTATAGACATGGAAGTGATAATGATAAAAGAAGATGACAAGTGTTTAAGTCCTTTTCAATTAAAGTCGATACGGGTTACGTTTCTTCAATACGAACACGCAACTCGACACGAAATAATATAATACACAAGTGTTACAAGTAAAAAATTTCGTCGAAAGTTATTTTGTCATTTATTGTTCCGAGTACGCAAGCGGCGTTCGCAATCTGTATTGCCAGGGAGATTCTCGGTTTTAAAAAGCTGCCTGCTCTGGGTTCCTCAGTGCATATGCTTAGGTTCTTACAAAGCTTGCTCAAAAAAACTTGTGCTGGGGCCGGCCGCGCCCTGAATTTCAAAAGCTAGCGGTTGAAAAAGATATCCATCATTTACAAGATCTTTATACTTGTCAGTTTTTCGCTCTTCTGCTTCAGCGGCAGCCGTACCAGGGTTACAAACAGACCCGGCATTAATCCTACAAGGAGCTAAGGAGTCTACTACCGTTACATCCCACAAGAGCTGCTTACCATCAGCCCATGGAACGAGCGTCAAACCGTCTGGTCGCTTTTGATCGGTCCTGTAGAGGTGTCGTGGTTATAAAACAGACGGAATGTGAGTAGATGATAGACTCTGCTTTATAAGGGCATTCAGGTTTGAATGCCTAGAAAATCTCCCTGCACTGTTGAGGCAAGAAAGACCATGCCAACCATCCTCGGCAACGTCTTTTCCGCGCACGCATTTATGCCGTTCGCATATTTTTGAGCCTAATCGAAGTCCTATTGCAATTCTGAGTTGTTGGTTTGACAGTTTTAACCTTAAATTTTTGCACGGGATGACGTTCAACCATTGGGAGTCAAATATGTTTTGGAACGCGTTGAATCTTTTTACGTCCGTTGGTTTGAGTCGTAAAATCAAGTCTGCAATTTCGCTGTCAAAAATTGGCTCCGTCCATTTTTTTTTGGATTTCATTTTCCGGAGCAATTTCAATTTTTCCAAGTTCAAACCACCGTTTAAGCGCATCATCATAGGTTCCATCCACATGGTCCAAACCAAAGATTTTGCTCAAGGCATCTTTCGCTTCTACTGCTGAGGCTAAGAAAGCGGGTAAAGCGATTAGACGAGCGGAAGAAACGCCCAAGCAACCTTTGGCTGCCGGGATAACTGCTTGTAAAAACTGGTTATCATCCAATTTCACGTTAGTGACCTTGCATAACGAATTTCGTAGTAGTTTGTCGTAGCATTCCAAAAAATCTTTTTGCAAAACACAAGGGCTCGTACGCAAAAAAAGGAGTTTTGGCTTGCTAAAGCAATTTTTCAGGAGGTAAAAACCATAATGGGCGTCTAGTTTGTCAATGACATCCGATAATTGTTCAAGCTCCTTAACTTTTTCGTCGAGCAATTCTTTTCGGCAAATTTCGCCGATTGGAGATCCTACAATGAGGAATTCTTTTTTTTTTTTTGGAGCAAATTAATAAATTCGAAATTGTGTTAAAATTGAATTATAATGTGCACTAGTAGTCGGTCCCAAAAAGCAAAGTTCGCACTTCTCAGTGTTCAAGCTCAGGCCGTAAATGTGTTCCGATTTCACAACGTTTTTAAGGTCCCGGAGTACTACTTTATAGTCTTCGGCTAAATTTCCGTCATCTAAATACCAAATAAAAAGTTTCGACTCCAACTGTTTGACTAATGTATGAGTTGTTTCCGCAAAAGGGGTGGGGCTTCAGGATCATCTTGCTGAGTTCCGTGTTCTGACGTTATGACAGAGCTTCCGTAAAAAAGGTAACTAGGCTTACCATACGCGCAGTGGGTGTAATTATAAAATTCGGGGCAATTTGAATAAATATGTTTCTCTATTTAGAGAGTTAAGGGCATTCTTAAAATCTAGTTTTAAAAGAACAGTGCATTTTGGATTGTCGTCGTGTTCAATTAGGTTTCGAAATGAGTGTGCAGCTATTTTTGCTCCTCGTTTGGTACCGCATACTACCTGTACGTTTCCGAAAAAATTTTGTCATGAGATTGAAATAAAACAAAAAAATTCTTCATTTGCCAGTTGAAAGTATTTTCAAATGATCAAGTGTAGATTAACTATGATTATAATTTTTTTCAAATACACTCAAATTTATCAATTGAAACTTACGCATTTAAAGATATTATCAGTATCTTACGAAAACTCATTTAAGAATTTGAAATAACACCGTGAAACTTTTCCATAGGTTGCCACTATGTAGGTTGTATCTTCTTTAAATAATAGTAATTCATAACCCTTGAAATTGCAGAGGTGATTTAAAATGTAAATTACGAACGTTATTGCACACTTTTTGATCAGCAAATTTAATAAAGTAATAAAACTTTACAAATGTAAACTTTCCCTACTTGCAACAGTCGCCTACTTAAGTCACAAATGAGGTTAAAGAAAAATAGGCCCTATAACCATTGGCTCAAGAGTCAGGGACACTATCTCTTGTGTTTTTCTACCTCGAACGGTCGGAGCCAATTCGGCCCCCCATTATACATACCAAAATACTACCAAATACCCCCCCCCCCACTCTAAAAAATAAGAACGTCCCCATACTTAGGCCTCAAAATACCCAAAATACGCAAACGCCGTTAAAAACAGGGTCGGAACATTCCGTTTTAATTACTTTTTACTAGACAATGGAATTTTGATCCATTTCAGATGAATCAACCTAAAACTCTCCCTACCTCAACATAACAAATACAAAACACTCAAGAAATCTAAATTGGGTACTCACATACCGACACTCTCTTGAATTGCAGAAACTAAATTAACCACCAACTCTGGCATAAATGGAATTAAGTTTAACTTGAGAAGTTTTGAATCAACAAGTTCAAGCTTGAGAATTGATTTTTAACTTGAGAACTGAGCTTTTGGGACTGAACCATTGGAAGACTTCGGTTGTCCACCTTTCGACCGAAATTTCCTTCTGGTCCACTTCTAATTCGTCTCTTCTTTGGTCGCAATTGCTCTGCTTTCTGTTTTAAGATAAGTCAGCTCTACTCTAGTGTGATTTTATCTCTGGAAATTGCGAATAAAAATTTCCCGCTGCTGTCTCCGACCACTTTTCCGCGATTGTAGTTCGGTTGTTCTGATCTTATATTTCCGAGATTTTCAGTTGTCGCGAGAAAGTTGAGCATGAAATGCTCAATTCGATTTTTTGAAAAAATCCATTTCACCCCAAAATCATGTTTCTCACGTTGCTCAAGTTCAAACTTCCAAATATGACCAACTGGCACAAAAATGATCATCGATTATAAAAATATCATAAGACATTGCCTACACAAAACAAAAAAAATTCAACTAATCAGAGGTTTCTGGTGAATCCTCTTTTCGGTTTTCGTCAATTCTAGTGGTTAAATGCCAAAACGTTTGGCCAACAAAGGTGGAGTTATATCCACAGCAGGAAATCTTCTAAACCACTTTTGATTTTCTATCACGCGAAAAAGAAGACTTTAAGGATAGAAGTCAGGTTTTCAGTTTTCTGGTATTGAAAACAATTGATGCCTTGATCATGTTCCGCACTTTATTTGCAAATTTTAGACTTTCATTGACTCGGTACTAAAGATTCATCATGCGTGGTGCGCCTGGATTACCAATACTTTTTTGATGTAAGTCCTTACCAGGACTCTTGTTGGCTTTTCCTTTGATGATTCTGTCAAGTGCCCTCGAATAAATTTTATCAGTCCAAGAGTCTGGGTATTGGTTGTCCGTCCATTGCTTTTTTTTTCATCTTCATGGCCTCTTCGATTTTGTTCCACATTGATGTGTTTCTAAAAATTCAATAAACTGCGCCTTCTTTGAACTTCACAGCTCCTAAAAGATTTGTCCCACTATCAGTTGGTTTTTCAAACCAACCACAAATTACGTTTTTGTGTATGTCCACGTTAACGTTAATGTCAAGAAAAGCTAAGTTGCATTAGTATTTTCTAAAGAAAACTGTAAATTAGGCTGTAAATTATTTGCAGCATTTAACAAAAACATCTGGCTCTCCTTTCCCAGCTCTAACGATGTCATCTACATATCTCACGAAGAGTTTTATTTACTCTAAATCTTGGTTTTTTTCTTATTTTACAGCATGCCGAGCAAAACCAAACAGTATTAGCTATGTTTCGATTTTCGTTTTTCTGTAGCTTACCACATTTTTGATGGAATCAATTTAGCAATTTTCACATTCAACACCTCTCTGTCTATACATAACTTATTGACTAAACTCTCGAAAGGTGCCGTTGAAATATTCATTTGGCTTTCAAATTTTGGGAATCTTTTTCCTCAATACAGGTTCGAACTCTTTAATCCACAATTTCGCCAGTATGACAGCAAGAAAGGCATCCATAGCCATTCCAACATTTTGTGTATAACACATATCATCGTAATTAAATGTACTTGAAGTACAGCAAGGTTTAGCAATCTCTTTATAGTATTGCGTGCAATGTCTGGAGGTTTCTCCTGCTCATAAAGTGTTCCGAGAGCAATGCCGATAGCTTCTTTGAGTGGAACTTTAGTGTACAAATTGTTAAAGTCTAAAAAATTTTCTTGCGTGTTTGTTTTTATCTTCGCCCGCTCAAT